CGACCGAGGAGGGCCCCCACACATCTCCACCCCAGCGTGGGGCCGCCCCCCCCTTTCCTCCTGGGTAGGGGCGCAGGCCAATTCCCTTCCCCCACACGGTCATCCACCCCGGGCTCCCTAAGTCCTGTCCGCACCAGGCCCGGGTCTGGCTCATTGGAGTAAACTTAGCCTCAATGATTCAGACCAATGAAAGCACAACTAGACTTTGGTTTTAGTCTTATATTAATGTATGTCTAAAAATGCAGACAATCGAGCGTCCCCCTCTTTGTGCATCGCTAACGTAACTGCAGCTGTTAACCACGCGGGGCTGTGGGGTGCGTTCTCATGCTCAGCATGCCGACTTCTTGCCAGAGCCCAAGCACAGTAAGGGGACTGGAAAGGCAGGGCTGGGATGGCCTGCGACGGATCCGAACAAAACACAGTCTTGGGCCATATCATATCGAAAAGATGCCACTGGAGGTGGTGTGGGTCATTGTTTTTACTGGTTTTTAAATTACCCGTTAAGGCTAAAGTAAAAAAATATATATCACAGTTCTCCCAAGTATATGCTCTTAGATGGTTATTTTGTTATCCTCAGCTTTCTTTCGGAGTACAGGTGTGAAATCACCCAGTACATATACTAATGACTCCCCTTAAAGAAGGAAAGTGATGCTTCCATCCCCCTGACTGTGGTCCCCCACCCTTTCCCGTAACCTTGCTGATTCATCACGGCCTAGGCCTAGAGCTGACACTGCGTACCTGAAAATTGTATTTGACAATGAATGTTCCCCTCTCAGTCCACTACAGAGAAATTAACCAGGCTTTATCTAATTCCAACCACTGAAAAGCTTCTTCACCAGAATAACAATAAAATGACAATTATTGAATGCTTGTCTGCTAGGCACTGAGCTAAACCCTTTACATGTGTCATCTCATTTTTAAGGCTCTGCACCTGTCGATAGCTATGGTGAAATAAAGACTATTATGCAGGGGCTGCCGGCCCCGCACCAGCTGTCTCTCCGACTCCTTTTCCGTATCAAACAAAAGCAGTTCTCCCGTGAACTTCACATTTAACGCAGCATCTTCTTTTCAACCAGGTAACAACCCCTCTGGGTCTAGAACGTCTGCCATAGTGACTTAACATGAGCAACTACCGCTCTTTTTAACAATAAAGTTTATTGCTGTGTCAGGCACTGCGCTCAGCGTTTGTCGAGGTCCCAGAACACTTTGCTGAGACATCTCTAATGAATTCTAAGTTATCTGCTTGTACTTAAGATTCTGAACTGTTATAAAGGCAAAGCATTTGGGATATTAATTAGGCCTTGTTTCCAGGAAAACCTAAGGAGATAAACAGTAGAGCTGACCTCTTTGGACTTACTAAAATGACAGCACTGTAACCCCCACATCACCTCATTGACATGTGTGTGTGACCTGGCACCAGCCTGTCTGGCTTCACCTTGCGCCACCCTGGTCCATCATGTCTGAAATTACATCATGCTCCTTCCACCCCTGAGCCTATCTGGAATGCTCTTCCTCTCGTCTACTCATCTTCCAGCTCTTAGCACAGATGTCACTTCCTCAGGGAAGCCTTCTCTGAAGCCCCCGGCCTTGCCCAATGCCTGTTATGTGCTATCACAGTGCTCAGAGCTTTGTTTCAAAGCACTTACCAGTTTTTCAATCCTAAACAAGGATTGAATCTGCTTTGGTCACTGTTGTGTCTCCGGTGGCCAGCAAAGCGGTACTTATTGTGTATTCAAGTTATTTTGTTCTTTGTTTGATCTCCTAAGCATGCATCTGGCTGAGAACCCAGAAATCATCCTTACGGGACTGATTTTCAGGCCCTCTTCATCTGATAAACTCCTCTCGAAGACCATTCCGCTTCTTAACCTACCTGGTCGGCTGTGGTCCTGATTAACGTGTCTGGTTTCTTTATCTGACTTTATTCGCTCTGTTCTCTATCTCATTTGAAATGGTTCCGAAGGTTATTCTGTTTAGGGCCTAGAATGATGAACCTTTCTACATGGCCCTATCAAAATCCTGGAATGGCTCAAAAGAAACAAAGACGCTCTGCTTCAAAACAACTACATAGCTACAGGTATCTCACCAGAAGAAAAGAAATCTCAGGACAAGGCTGCAGAGAAAAACTCCAGGATCAAGTAGCCACGGGCACACACAAGGTTGCAACCCTCATCCACGTTCCTGAATTGAACCAACCTTACCCCAGAGAGCCTCTCAATTTCATGCATTCTATGAACACTTTTTAGGTAAAGCTGTTTTTAGTGTTTACGCGTTATCTTGTTTCAGAATTTCTTTCTTTTGGGGTATTTCTATTTGTTGAAAAGATCTGTTCGCAAATTCTAAAAGTACCGTTGTATCATTTTCTCCTGATGGCTGAGGTAATTTCTGGAAGGCATATTATCGTACTATTGAGTTGCCTTCTCTGAAGGTGAAAGCACGTCAACGACAAAATGTAAATGCTGAAATCTAGTTTTATCTTGCAACTTTTTCAAACATGCTGAGGCTGCCTCGCTTTAACAGAAATTGCTCACATATTTAAATAACTTAGGTTGGGACAGATAAATTGATAACGGCAAGAGTTCCCATTTTTGAACTGCATGTGCTATAATTCACAACGTGGTGGGGTAAGACTAGGTGTTGTAGATATTTAGCCACAAACTGACTTCTTTCAAATCCTTTCGTTCCTGAAATTTTCTTCTTTAGCACCAAATCAGTGTGCTCTTTTCACTAGGTAAGTTGACATGCAGCCACAAACCTCTAATAAAGAGGAGAATTTTAATATTTTGATTCTCAGATTGGAAGTCGGCTTCTGCAGGGACATTTTACGTTTCTCACTTGGAGGCGAGGGTTCAGAATCAACGCCACCTCTCAGACTGGCTCTGTACAAAGCGGCCTGGCCCGAGGGAAAAGGCAAGCATTTACACAGAGCGCAGCCAAACCTCACCCAATTTCTCTTTTCAGCACCCTAATTAAAAAGGCTAAATGGGGTGGCTCCTCCACTCTCATGAAAATCATCTCTGAAGCGGCACTGAAACCTTTTAACAAAGGGGCATTTATACAGCACAATGGAACTTTGATATCTAAAATGCTTTAAAAAGAACTCCATTCCCATTCCTGAGGAAATTAGCTTGCCAGGTTTGGTTTCGGGCGACTAACCTTCCTTATTTTACTCCTGTATAAATAAAAAGAAACCAAAGAAATTTATTATTAAAAATATCTTTTTATTGACTGAAGCTGATCAATTCTCTTAGCAGGACAGTGAGGCACATAGCATATTCTTTAAAAAATTAAATTATAAGTTAAAACATAAATGTTTTAGTCTTGAATAATTTTTAAAAATGCATATAAAACTTCATCTCCCAGCTGTTGTTTACATAAGTAGATGGGATGACTACAGACCCAAACAAGATGGGGCTCTGCTCAGCTTTGGGACAGAAGGGCCTCGACTGTCACTCACAGAGGAGATAACTTCTGGTTAAAAATATTTTGTGTCAGATCATTTTATGTATATGTACACAGCAAAGTCCAGAGCTAAAACCACAAGAGAATACTATTTCTTATATATTTGGAGCTGACTCTGATAAGCTACTGTTTATAATGAAATGTATGCACAGGTTTAAAAACATCAGACAGCTAAAATGGCATTTTATATGCGGGGATTCTCTGTGATGTTCATACGCTTAAGCGCTTCTCCAGGATTTCACCACTGTCCACGCATCTTCGCAGGGACGTCCTTCTTCTCTCTTGGCATAATTCCAAGTTTGGATATATACACGATAGAGAATATTTTACACGTGAAAAATATTTCTTGCGCGTGTAAATGATTAACTTTAAAACAAAATATAGATGTTTAAAAATTAACTTTCAGTTTTTGCTCCCCTTTAGTAGTAAACATTTGCTTACGAAGGATTCCGATCTTCTTTTTGTGTTCCAGGTGAAGTATTAGGTATTGATGTCTGCTTCCTGCCTTCTGCATAGAAGGGAAATGGGCTTCTCTGCAGAATGAAAACAGTTAATAAAATCAATCAGTGAGTGCTGGAGAGTGTGCCATGAGCTCCCGGTCTCTAAATAATTAGCTATATCCTGACTTTCCTTAAAATAAGGTCATGCAAAATAAAAACTTCTCAGCAAAGAGAAAGGGAAAAGAGGGAGAAAGGAAGGTTACTGAAGCTTACTTACCGCTTTCACCGTTTTTAAAAGGTTCTTATGCTTACAATGAAAACGACTAAAATGCTTATACCTTTTAAACTGGATTCTAAAGAAACTGCGTATATGAGATGAAGGTTTGACAGGACGAAACTCAGATCAAGAAAGTGCTTACTGGGTCAATAAACCTTTTTACAGAACCTGAAACCCCACGAAGAGACTTATTTTTAGACAGACATTTAGACGACATGTTAATTTAGATTCCGATTTTAAAAGCTGTATGTATTTACTCCTTAGATTTAAAATTCTAGGAGTACTGAAATAAGAATCGTTTGATCTGCATTTCATACAAGTAATTGACATTTCACTCTGATTAAATTTAGAATGTATGTAGAAATAGGTCACACAAAAGAGAAAGCATTACAGGTCAAACAACCCATGGCCTTAACTCTACATTATCAGTGTTCCCGAGTTACTTATTAAATATCCACTGAGCTATAAGATGAGACTAGCAAAGGTGACTTACCCGTGAATACTGAACACTGAAGCTGACTTTTGCTTTCTTCAGTCATTGAGAGAGGTATTTTTTTGAGCTGACTCTTCCGAGACTTCTAAGTTCTACAAAACAACTGCTGAATTAGTACCCAGGAAAACTAGAAAATACGTAAGACAGTACACAAATACAGCAGAAATGCCTTTAAGAGACCTTATAGAATGAATGGAACTCAATGAAGGAATTTCACAGAACTACCATCCACGCACCAATGAAGATGTATTCGTTCCCTATTTGCACGTGGGGCCCTTTGTCCGTCATCGTGGAGCAGAATGCTCTGCTTGCTTTGCCATCTATGTTCTGGCTAAACTTTGGCCACCAGCTAGTGCCCAGATATACCTGGCGTTTTGTCAGCCCTGATACAGGCCGACTACGTGGTGAGCCCTTAATGAACATCCACGGTCACCAATCTGAATCTACAACCCTAAGTGTGGTAATTCACCAAAGTGCCCACTAGGGCTTTAGTAAGCATTGTCGGGCGTTTGGGGAAATACATTTAAAAAGAAGGAAAA